GAGAAGATTAGCATGTTTACTATTCTTAAGTAAATCCGTTATTAAAAATTAGGATTAATATTTGTTTGATTTTGGTTTGTATTTCCTATTTTGTTTTATTCGATTAACGAGAATATATCGAATTTAATTAAAATTAATAGAATAAGAATAAATTACAAATATCCCTGTTCAGTTTTGAGCATTTATATTCATCACAATTTCCGCCAAGTTTATCATATTTTAATCAATGAAGATTTGTGCAGCATGATATGAAAGTTGTACAATGGAAAATCCTCAGTTTTATGTTTGAAAGGACATCCAGAAATATCTCCTTTTTTCAAATTTGCCCTATCTCTCTCGACTCTTGTTCAAATTTGACTCTACCTAGATTCACGGCTTTCATAACCGCATTTTCAAACGATACTGTGAGGGAAAACACGATTTTTTTGAAAAGTTTTTCTCTGAATGGGCTGGTCTCGCACAGGAACCGGCTACGTCCCACAGTGAACTATACATCATTAGTATTTGTTCCGTTGTGGTTAGCATAAATTGGTATGATTTTTTTAAGGGTTGTTTTTTATGATATTTTAAAAGCAATGTCTTGGATTAAATGAAATATTTTTTTCTGTGTCCAAGGCTTGTCACGAAAAATCCAAACAACTTCACATCAAAAAGTGCACTGGGACATCGCATCCTCCGGGTGCAAAAATCTGCGCATTCTCTTGAAAACGGGCGTACGATCCAAACACAGGTCAATGTAAGGTTCAACAATTCAATGAAAATTTCATTTTTCTTAGAAGTGAGACCGTGGGGCTCATCCGTCGAACGCGTAAACCCAGCTTTCTCGGATCGAGTCGCAGGTAAAAAAAAACCCGGACATATACGCACGATTAACTCAGGTCCAGTGTGAGAGCTGCCTAAAATTCAAGCAAAACGAATTGCGACTTGGTCTGAAATGTTCTGAAATTATTCGCATACGTTTCTGAGTCCGAGACTCGGCGGCAACGGATCAACACGTTTGAAAAATGTCAACTTGCATCACCGACACGGTTCTTGATTGAGCACACAAGAGACACAGATAAATAGTAATACATATGGATCTTTGACGTGTAAACACCCGGGGTATAGACATATTTCAACGTGGCCCAAATGTACTTTGAGTTCCACATAAATAAAGTTAATAATAATAAAGTTAGGAGATACATACTCCAGGTATGGATATTATTGGTAACAAAGCAATACGCTAAAGTTCACAGTTTTTAACCAAGAACATAATAATATACAAAAATTAGAAAAGTTTTTATGATCAATGCTTAATCCGATAGTCAGTGGGTCGGATCGGCAGAGGCTCCTACTTATCAAGTGGTGGATGGATGGTCCTCGGAGGATCTGAATCGTAAAAGTTCCCCATTAATTTACACGATGCGAAAATCAAACTCGGACGCTTACTTTATGTATTGCAAGTAGAGTCCGTCCAGCATATAGTGATAAATTGCTCGATGTGCCCCACTTATCTTTGGCTCCATATAGAGAGCGTGTAGGAATGCCAGCCGATTTATTTTGATGATCTGTCGCGATTTGTGGAGGAAACAGGGCTGTTTTACGTATATAAATACTGGTACATAATATGTTCGTTTTGCCTAATGTACTGGACTTTAGAAAACAACTGAAATGTACTGATAGATGCGACACACGAATACTTCGGACCTTCTCAAAAATACTTGTACATATTTCGTATTGTGTTCCCTTTCGTGTATATTGAGAGTGAATGCATTTATTAGCGTGATTGTGCAGTTTGAGAGAGCCGATAGAAGTTATAGTATGTGTAAGGGGTGATGGAGGAATACCCAGTACTCCACCTACAAACCAGGAGATGAAGTGACAAAGCTGTTGACAGGACCTGAAGCTTAACATCACTGGCGTCAAGTCATAAGCTCAATTCTGTACATGTGCGGATTTATATATTATATCAATCAATAGTCAAATTCATTGATAAAAGTGGGCAGCATTTATTCCATGGAGGACACTCCTTATAGAGAGCGTGCAGGAAGATACACCTGATATGGGAATTGTACTTAAGTATTTGTGCGACCTGTTCCGATTTGTGGAAGAAACAGGGCTGTTTCATGTACATAAATACTTAGTAGGTATCTCGCTTTGTGTTCCCTTTGGTATATATTGAGAGTAAATGTATTTATTAGCGTGAATAGTCTATTGGTAACTTCAGTTGCGGATGTCAAGTCGATTCTATACTTGTATGCATATCTACGCGGATTTGAGCTTATTAAATCAATCAATCGATAGTCAAATTTTTGATCAAAGTCATTGGTAAAATAGGCAACTTTTTCATGGCCTCATTCACTTTTTTTGTACATTATTTAATAACCGAGAATTTTTCCTTCCAAAAATTAATATTAGCGTTTATAAAAATATCAAAAAGCTATTTTTAGACAAAGGTCAGCAAGAAAAATCATTTTCCCAGTGCGGAATGCAAATAATGAACAAAACAATGAGAATTCAAAGATTTTTAATTCATGATGATGGGGACGAGGAAGACGGTGTTTCCCAGACACTGCAGCCTACTGGCTTATTGTACTTTTCCTAATTCCTTAGTTCAGTACAATCGATCCTTCTCCTGAAAAGTATTAGGCCATTGACCGTCGTTGTTACAATTCCTTTCCTTGTGTTTTCTTTGTATCCCAGGTTATGTCCCCTTTGAGCGGTTGCTTCGAAGATGATATGGATTGTTGTTTTTTCCTCCGCATTGCATAACCTACAAATGGGGTCACCTCTGAATATATCCATGTGTAGATGTTTTCTGAGATGCCAGTGACTCGTAGTCCTCCTCTTAGTTTAGCCATCTGCTAACTGTAGCAGTGAGTTTACCAGTCGTGTGAATTTTGTTTTAGCATATGTTTACTTAGGCTAACAACTCTATGAGTTTATCCACTTCTATCAATTTGTATTTTTGGGATCCATTCTGTGATTGAGAATTCTGTGTTTTTGTTATCCCAAGAATAGATTCATGTCCTAAATAAGACCTTGCAGATCCTCCTCGGGCCAGTGTGTCTGCCTTTTCGTTACACAAAATTCCCTTGTGTCCTGCTACCCAAGATAGAATAAGGTTATTTATTGTGTTTCACCAGGTTTTGGGTCATACAGGGACTAATTTTGATGTGATTCTTTTATATGCTAGGGTTAATAGCAGCTTGGCTATCCAATACCATGAGGTTTTTGTCACTGTCATCTCTTTTAAGATTTTGTCCTTACACAATATACTATATATTATATATAAATATAATATATAGTGCCTTCACAAGCATGTTTTTCAGCTTGAAAGACCGAGGTGTTCTTCCCAATGAGTTTGATTGCACATATTCTGGGCAGATTTACAGAAAAAGGCCTGATCCTATTCCTTCATTTATTTTGGAGCCATCTGTGTACCATATCATTGTACGTGATGTCCTAAAGACTTCTCATTTTTAATGTGTTGAGACTTCATAGGATGTTAGTCTTGGTTTTATTTATGAACTTACGATCCTATTATTCAGAAATCGTGAGATGCGGTCTGGTGTGAAGTAGGTTTCAGAAAAGCATTTTCTTTATTGTGCAAACGTTTCGATCTTTATTGAGATCATCTTCAGGGCTCAAAGTGTTTCTCGCAAGAATGGCACAATTACACAGAAGACAAACACTTTGAGCCTGAAGATGATCTCAATAAAGATCGAAACGTTGGCACGATAAAGAAAATGTTTTTCTGAAACCTACATCACACCAGAACGCATCTCACGATTTCTGAATAATTATCGATTAACGGTCACTAATCACTACACATTACGATCCTATGTTTGTAGGTTGAACAGAACAAAATGAAATTGTTTGGAAAATTTGTTTGTACAGCTTCTTTCCACTTGGGTTGAGGTCAATCGAATCACTTCCAACAAGAAAACAAAAGAGCTTAAAAGGGTCAGCTTACAAGCCTGCATATGTGTACAAATCTGTATAATTCATTCAATCACAAAAGCATTCCATAACAAATATTCTTTCCCTATTTACCTTTAATGTACAACAGTCGAATTATTTTCAATGGTGTTCTTACCACTGATGAGTTTCATAATCACAGTTGATTGTAGAATTAAATTGGTTTATTAGGATCGGAAAAATATCCTATCTTTTATTAACATATTTCACGGTGTTTGTACAAGTTTCGAAGCCGATTTCGTACTTTTTATGTATTTTTATCGCGCCTTTCTGGCACCTGAATGATTATTATTGAACGTTTCGAAAGTACGTCGATTTTCGTCGGGTTTTCTTATTTGGAACCAGTTATTAAAAATCCGCAATTTAAACGTGCGCCATCAAACTTTTTCGATTCGTAGCATTACGCCCGTCAAAATCACCGAAGGTTCACAGAGAAAAGCAAACGACAAGTTCTCCACGGAAAGAAAAAAAAAAGATCTCTATGAAAAACGTGAAGGGAGTCGAATAATGAAAAAGGGTGGTAAATTAAGTCAAGAAATTGTAAACTTATAACATTTAATAATAACGTGATGCAATTTGTAAAAACCGGACAGGGCAAAATTCTGTATATCCTGCCTTTCGGTAGGGTTAGGGGTTTAAATCCATCTCTTTCCTGTTGTTGCTAGTTAGTAAAGAGATAATTCCTTCTTTCTGTTGACTCGAAAACGCTGAAGGTTTCACGAGGGTCAGGTAGTCGGGTACATCATTGTGGTCTAACGTGCCTCTCCAGGTAGCCTCTCTACGCTGGCCAACATAATTCTAACAAGATAATCTGTGTGAAATAAGAAAAATAAGACAGTTGAGGAGGAGACACGGGTAACCAGAAAGCCAAACCGGCGGCGGGACAAGAAAACCCGACGAGGGCCATAGCCGAGATGCACAAGAATCCGGAAAAATCCAGTCAGAGGTGGTAAAGAGTGTTTAACAGAGAAACGACCTCTTAAATCTATTCCAAATCCCGACAGACTAAGTAATTTTGAATAAAAAACAAATCGACTTACTAGAACTTTGTTCTTCTTCATTGTGGATTTGTCGGACGAATCCGTTGTCCAGGCTGGCGATTCTTCCAAGTCAGGAACTTGCTGCATTACACTACTTCTCACTATCACTCGAGTGTATAAATTAAAACAAAACAAAAAAAGAAAAAAAATCAACTCTTTTTGCTGTAGGTGTTCCGTAGGATTTCGGATCCGGTGCACGGTCGGTTAGCACAACAAGGCGAGCACACAATCAAACTAAGGGTCACAGGATCTTCTCCTGGGGACTGTCCGACCAAATGGTCAACTGGGTACGGAGCAGCGTCCGGGCTCCTCACTGACACCAAAGAAAATTATGAATGGGGATACAGGGTTCTGTAATGAATGGATGAGGTCGGAGTAGGACTACTATTTTTGTGGAGGGGGCCCGGATCCCCCACCAATCTTCGACTAAGTCTGAACGGCTAGGTATCCAGGGGTACAGTCGGATCTCGATAAAAATGGAACAACCCACTTTCAAAAAAGACCAAAAAACAGAGCCGACCTTTTTTAACTCTACACATCAAACATTTATCTCCCCGACTTCTCTTCCTTTTTCAAAACGAGTTGAGCCTATGTCGCTTTTGACGCTTGTCTTCTTCTTTTGCACCTCCTCACTCGGCCGAGGAGACTTCATCGCTTCCAGAATTCCAGCCGTTTAAATCAGTCGGAGATTCCTTCGAAAACATTCAACCTATCCAATGTCAATCAAATACGCGAGATTATATTTTTTCAAGTATAATAAGTAATAATTTTTTAATAAATACTGGACTGAATGCAACTGACGTATTTAAAATAAGAATTTATTCAGAAAAATCCCACACACTAAGAATTTAATATTTATTATTAATTTATTTTATGCAAACTTCTTAAAGTGAATTTTGAATAGGTAGGAGAATCACAAACGATTGAATTTTCAAATGCAATAATGTGTACATTATTAATTTATTTTTGACAACGACGAAAAAGCCCAATGTTTCACAATCTAATCAATCTGACTTGACTCTTGTGAGGGCGACCGTGTGCGTATTTATACTAGTATTATAACTATAAAGATAATATAAAGAAAGAGATAAACATATACGAAAAAATGTTAAGATAAGAGATAGAGTGATGGGGGGAAAAAGAGAGCCAGACACATTTTGTTAAATTTTTATGGAATGAGCGTGCTTTCGGGGGGAGTGTCTGGCTATTTATAGAGAGGGAGTGGGTGAGAAAGAGATAGAGAGAGAGAGATAGAGCGAGAGAGTGAGAGAACTGGGAAGACAAGCCGACAGAGAAAGAATGAGAGGAAGAGGAATAGTGTGCGTGAAACAAGCAGGCATAGAAAGAACAAGAAGAAAGAAAGAGAGAGAAGTGGAAGAAATAGGCAGAGAAGAAATAAGAGAATAAAGAGAGTGAGAGAGGGAAGTGGAAACTGAACTCCACTGACATTTTATTTATATATATGTACATATATATAACTGTTTTTTAATGTGTACAAATTTAGGACAATACTATTCTCTCCTAACATGCGTTTACACGTGAGAATTTTTTTTTCTCGAGAGTGGAAGATATATTCTCGAGAGTAAAACTTGCAAGTGTGAACTGAGAGTTCTCGCCGAAAGTAGAAGGAGAGCTCTCCGAGAGGTGCAATGTTGCATCTTCCTCACTAGTGCATTCGTTTTCCCCACGCCTCAGAGAGTACTCTCAATCATTTCAACATAATTTGAATTTGCTGAGTATATTGTGGCCAAATCCAATAAACAATGGACCCACGAGGATGTTTGCGAGCTTATTGAGGCATACAAATTGAATCCAGTCCTTTGGGACTTCCAGAACTCAGATTTAAAAAATAGATTTTAAAACACGAGAAATTAGCGACAGACTTCAATTGTCCGACCCCTGAAATTAGTTAGAAACTACACAATTTAAGAAACCAGGTCAGTTTATTTCACAAACAAATTTACATTTTTAATAAACAATACAACATTATCAATAAATAAATACCTACATACATTATCAATCCTTTTTAAAATAATCATGTTTTACTTTTAATTACAGGTTTCTCAGGAGCTAAAAAAATTAGAAATAAAAAGAGCAGAACTGGAACTGAATATATGGAAACATGGCTCTATTTTTCGTCATTAAGTTTATTGTTTTATCTCTACAAACTGCTGGTACACAATCCAATATTCATTTCATTGTTTCATTTAATATCTTTGTACTTTTTAATACTTTTTAAATATTTGTGACGCAAAAAATAAATTTAAAAAAATTTGTTGAAGTCGTGAGGAGCGGTCAAGAATGAGGTAGTTTAGAAAAAGAAACACACATTAAAAAATATTTGGAAAATCATTAATTGTAAATGTTATTTACCTTTAGTTATGCCTCTCTGTGAACACTGTGAAAATTGCAGGAGCCCTTTGTTTTTTTAATTCCGCTTATTGTACATACAGGTAGGCGAAGAGATACTGTAGACTGCCATAGAATCACATGAATTAATTACACATGTTTTACTTTATAATATATTAATAAATTGTTGCATTTTGTACTTGTTGAGAAAAATCGTTTTAAGGAAATCCTGCATTTGTTGTAAATAAAATTAATAAATTTCAATGTTTACCTCTTTCAAAAAATCGTTAGGCAACATAAGACGCTCACGAATAGAATTGCTTCTCTAATAGCAGTGGCTTTACTAAAAACTATGGGCTTCCCCCCCCCCTGTAATTCTACCAGCAATTCAACTTCAAAACTTGAAAATCTACAAAAATGCCTAAATTGCTGAGCGTCTTCAAGTTCCAATTCCCGTGCTAAAGCGTGGTACTTGCCTAAATGATAACTCCTTAATTTGATCCATGATTTGACCAACTTTTTTTGTTTTTGAATAGAGTTTTTTTTCGATAAGCACAAAACTATTAACGCTGCAGCTACTTTTCTTTTTCGTTTCGTGTTGAAGACATCTTGTCTAAAAATATCTCTCAGAACTGACCAAGTGCGTGTGTGTAAACTATCTGAAGCGGACTCAAGAGAGTTGCCATGGAGAGTTGCTCTCTGAGAGAGAGAGAGAGAGAGAGAGAGAGAGAGAGAGAGAGAGAGAGTGTGTGTGTGTGTGTGTGTGTATGTGCGTGAGAAATGGCATAGAAAGAGAGATAAAGAATGAGAAAAAATAGAAAGAGTGAGTGAGAGAAGTTGGAGAGTAGGATGAGCTGGACGGACTTCTCGTATTCGCAAAAAAATTCCATTGGCGTAGCAACTTCCGAGTAGAACGCTGAGACTCCATGACCACCCAATACGTCGCACCAAAAAAACGGGGTAACGCAAGGATGTGTATTAAGTGCACTTCTCTAATTAAGTTTTACAACATTTACGGCCCCTGTACAAACCATGCTTTATGCTAAGTATCTGGTAATTTCCGGTAAAGATAAAAATACTCCTCTTTTATTTGAAAACATCTAAACAGCGTTAGGGTTTTTTCAAATGGTTTTAGCATTTCAAAATGAATAGGACAAGCTGTGCTCTGCAAACTCCAAGCTCAGATGTAGCTGTAGGTAACACGCCGATCCCTGTGTGACTGATACATTGGTCTTTGACAGAACTCTTAACCGATTGACTTTCTTAAAAATGGTGAAATCTTCCTACACAGTCTGTGAACATTAAAAAACGATATTTCTAAATGGCAGTATGTAGGCCAGTCTTCCCAGGCTATCAAAATTCCAGGGAAATTTCGCATTGATTAAGATATGTTAGAAATTGATAATTTGCCAGTCAATATATTCAAGAAGATCAAAAGAAAGTGGATTAGGCGAAAGAATCCCCACAAAATATGATGCTTACAAAACGCCAGCAGCTATTTATTATTTCTGTGGCCAGAATTAATAGTACAGAACCATAGCTTTAAAGCCTAATGTTGACTTGTGTAGATCTGCTAATCAGTGAGCATATGTTGAACTAACACTTGCTCCGTCTACACTCTAGGGTTTTTTAACTTTCTAGAACGCATTTTGGCTTTGCACCATGTTCAGTGAGGAAGTTCCACCAAATTCTCAATTCCGGTTCACCATTTGCCGTTTAAACCGTTCAACTCTATGAAAATAGTAGTAACATTTGTTAGATACCTAGTCATTGGGTATTGAACAAACTAGAAGTAAAGAGAACACATATAGAAACATACAACATTTAGCCATGTGATAATTTGGTCCCTTATGTTAAATCCAAGTTATGAAAAAGAAGATAGCAAAATATATAAGGCAATAAATTAAAAGGAATTTTTAAAAATGTAAGACAATGATAGTTGTGGTGACCACCCGCAGTTACAACGGTACCCACTTAGGGATCACCACCAGTTCAGGTATGGACTCACCCTGTACTCAGCGTGGAGCAATTCCTTACATAAAGCAAGGGCACTGCCCTGCTGTCTAGTGTGCAGTGACTTCAGACACTTCCTCGACAAGATCTCAAAACTCACTATTTGAGCAAGCCACCAGCACAACAGTAAGGTCACTCGCAGCATCAGCCACACTCTCGCCTTCTCCACAGCCCACTTGGCTACCGTCCACCTGCTGCCGGAATCCCTTCTTCCGATGCTGAGTCGACCGACTCACCATATATGAACACGACCACAGAACTCGACCAACAGCTTACACAGTCCCGACCTCAACCATTGGCTCTTCATCCCAACAACACCGGCCCTTGTCAGAGCCACCAAAACCCCCAGTTACTAAAATAGTCATAATTAGAAAATCCAGGAAGGACGATGCTGTCCTCACAAGGCCAAACATGTTTCTTAGATGGGCATTTATTGTTTCAAGAAACTACCCATGTATGTGACAGATTCAATGAGCCATTACAAATAAATACATTTCACCTCATGTTAAGCATGTTGGTTTGAAAAAGATACATGTTAGACAGGTAGGTTATACGGTGATATAGGACTACAAATAATTTTCTTATTAATTTGTTTAAAATAAAAGTTGACAATGTTTTTGCTCCTCCATTCCTCCATTGTATGATGTATTTGCTGTATTCAATACAATCTATACAAAAGATTTGTCAATTTTGCCTTCTTTTTCATTCTCCTGTGCGAATCCAAAATGCATTCGGGTGAAATCTAAGCCCACGAGAGTGGGCAGACACAATAAAGTGATCAAGTGAAAATGACAGAATATAGGTATATGGAAATAAATTCTAATTCTTACAAGGCTCAGGCAATATGTCACTTCTTTCAGATAGAGACTGTGGCTATTGACCCCTGCGCCCAAGAGATCAAAAGGCTTGGTGTAACCAAAGAAGAAAAGCCATCTATTCAACAGCCAGGTGACATTAAAGGCAACTTCCTCTTCAGTAGTAAAGTCAAGATCCAGATTGGGATTGCATGAAGACTCTTTCAGACATTGGGAACAACAAAATTACCCTTATGTATATTAAGGGTACATTTAAGGGTACATCTGTCTTTGTATTGTCTAACCAAACATTAGGCAGCATACAAAGACTAGCAAACCTATGTATCACAGGGGCAATGAGAACAACCCCTGCAAATGATTTAGAAACTTTGCTAAACCTACCTCCACTGGAAATATTCATACAAGGAGAGGTTAGGAAAAGCTCCAGAAACAATTAAATTGGAAAGGAACTAAACAATTCGGGCATACAACCATAATCAACAAAATCAGACACCCATTATTAGAAATGGGGACTGACTACATGATCCCAGAAACAATCTTTACAACTTCCTATAAAGTTTCAATGGACTATAAAGGAGAGGAAGAACACAAGAGAGCATGAGATACAATGATATGGTACACAGATGGCTCCAAAACAAACTAAGGAACCGGATCAGGCGTTTTCTGTACAAGCCCAAAACATGAGCAATCAAACTCATTAGGGAAGTACACTTCGGTCTTTCAAGCGGAAATACATGCCATCAATGCTTATGCCCTGGAAAATCTTAAAAGAGGTTACACTGACAAAAAAAATTCTCATAAGATCAGATAGCCAAGCAGTGTTAAAGCACTAGCATGTAAAAGAATCACATCAAAATTAGTCAGTAAATGCATCCAAAATCTCCAAAACCTGGGGAAACACAACAACCTGGTGATGTCTTGGGTGCCAGGGCACAGGGGAATTTTGGAAGAAAGCAGACAGACTGGCCAGAGGAGGATCTGCAAGACAGTACATAGGCCCCGAACCTATTCTTGGGATAACAAAAACAAATTTAGAGTCCTCCATCGCAGAATGGATCCAAGCAAAACAAAAGGAGAAGTGGATAAACTCTAGCGGTGCTAGACATAGTAAACTTATGATGAAACAACCCTCACCGACACTGGCAAAAACACTGCTGCAATTGGAGAGGGCCAAACTCAGAGGAGTGGTAGGACTACTAACCGGTCACTGGCATCTGAGAAAACATCTACGCAACATGGGTCTGTACAGCGATGATCCCATTTGCAGATTATGTAATGAGGAGGAAACAGCCACTCATATCATCTTCGAATGCGAAGCAACAGCTCAATGGAGGTTTAACCTAACGTACGGAAAAAAACTTAGGGAATCAAATTGCAGCAGCAACAGCCAATGACCTGATACTTCTAAGAAGAAGGATTGAGTCTATTGACTGAACTAAGGAACTAGGAAGGTACGATAAGCCAGAAGGCTGCAGTGCCTGGGGAGTACAAACCCCGCTTCCTAGTATCCTTTTCTACCATACCATACCCTTATGTAAAAGTGGGATTAATTTAGAGATTAATGTAAAATTTGATTATTACTTCATAATTTTTTTAAGATATACTCTTATAAGATGTATCTTATAAGATTAAGATTAGAGTAGGAGCTGGCCTCTTTATGATCTGCGCACTGTGACTAGTGGTTTATTGAGTATCTCCATTTCTGGACCTTATTAAGCTTAAGGCTTTTTTACCATATCCCAAATCTTTTTAAGGACTCCCGTTTGTATCCTTTAGACTTGGAATTTTCCTCTCCCAGGAGTAGGAATCTCAGCCTACATAAGTCTTTGCACCAACAGAGGTCATGTTCTGTTGTCTCTTCTTCTCCCTGGCAAAAGCATATGCCTCCAGAGTATCTGGTGTCCAGTTCTACTATAATTTACTGTAAGTCTTAGCATGTACTAGATTGAGCAGTTCTGCAGTTTGGTTCTGACATGGTCCTTTGATGTCCTTTTTCATATACCTATGTTACAGGCCACATTCCCATTGAATGGAGAACTTATTTTTAATCCATTGTCTGATGGATCCACATTGTATCTACATTGGACTTTACCGGCGATGCGATAATTGCCCCTCAGTGCTGCATGGCTGTCCAATTAGATGGCTATTCTTTTGTTAATAATATCTAGGCCTTTTAGTCTCCTTGGCACGGTGTTCAATAGCCACAGTCAGTGGCCTATTGCCGAAGGCTTATATGAATTCTAGTCCTTGGTTTATTTCCATAAATATCAGCTCCTGAATACTCATTTCAGAGTCTTCTGTATACAAAATAAGGTTGGCATTAACTGGTTGTTATCAAATCTGAATTTAGGAGTGATGGCATCGCCAGAACCCTGTCTGCCTGAAGCTGCTCCCAATGTTTTAATTGCTCCTTGTTATGTGTGTAGACTATTTAAGCTGTCCATGTCTAAGAGCCTAAGGATTGTGGCTCCAGCCTCTCCCTGGATAAAGATATGCAATGGTGGTAGATTCAAGGACTTCCTTTCCAACAGTGGTGGTCAAACTGCACCCAGGCGCTCTAGTCTCTGGGGATTAGCTCTAATGTCTTTGTCCACCAAATCACTGGTTCCTAGACTAACATAGATCTAACAACCGCTGTGCATAGCTGTAAGGACATATTTGGATTTGGTCCGCAACTTTTCCCGCAAAGGCGTTTTCATCTATTAATGGCAATTTTTGCTCTCTGTGTCGCAATTTGCATTAACATATTCCTTATACATGGATTATTTAAAAATACAAGACCATTATTTCAGTTCTTATGTGAATAGAGAGGAAGGACATCAAGAAAACAGATTTTCAAGGTTTAGTCTGATAAGCAAAAGATAAAGTTTGCCGGCAATTAAGTGTTTAGTAATCATTCATTTCCAATACACTCTCAAATCTCACAATAAACTTAAGGCAAGGATAAATAATTTAAAGCATGTCAAGGGTTTTTGTGAAGCAACAATAAAACATTTTGTTGATATCATTTTTTTAATTATAAATCACAATAAATTTTCTGGGAATTTCAAACTAAATAAATAAGATTAACACAAAAAAAAGAACATGTATAATTGAATTTTATCATATTATAACAAGCAAGAATGAATATAAGCGTTTCATATAATTTTCATAACAAGCTGTTCGATGTTAATTAAAAACAAAAATGTATTGAATTTGCTCATTTTCCGTATTAATATGGACGTAACTGGATACATTTTGATATATTTAAAGAAAACACACATTCAAACATGCACGCACACATAAAACTCTTACATTTGCAAGCACACAGTAATTAATATTTATTTTTATGTTTAAAACATTCATTATGAAATATTAAATCACAGAAAGTAGTAGTGAATTAAGTTTATAAATATGTACAAATTGTACATTAATTATGAAATAAACAATCATAGTTGATGTATATTTGAGTATATTTTCAAATTACAACGCATATCCAATTATAAATATAGCCATTTATTTAACATCAAGTAACAATATTTTGATTGGGAATTATATTTAACTCATAAAACGATGAAGTTAGATGAGATCCTGATGTGCAGTGGTAGAGTTGTGAGATTATTTTCACTTTCATATGTTATTATCCTGTTTATTGTTTCCCCCTCAACATTTCTTTTCTTTTAATGTATTACAACGTTTACAATTAACGATATTTTCACAAGGCTGGCTCATGTTATTTGTTTATCTTTTTTTTTCCATTCTTGTGTCCATGTACCAATGTTGCTAAACAAAATAAAATGTTCATAGGCTAAATATTTTTGTTTGCAATTTTACTGTAAAATATTCAATAAATTGTACCATATAGTTTCACTCAATCGTTCTGGTTACGCACTCTTTTCTCCCAAACTTCGAATAAAGAGTTTCTCTTTTTTTGTATGGGGGATGTAAAAGGTTCACATTCCTGCAACAATATAAATATGCTTTAAAACAAAAAAATCTGTTAAAACCATAAATTTAATTTCATTTTTTTTTAACACGGGTATTTAAATTATGAGGTTATATGAACCCTCAGGGTGTGGGGTTTTTGCAGATTTAACAACAATCAATTAAACAATTTTTATTACAAATTTAATATTATTAAAACCAATTATTCAAAGACTTTCTCTAAAGTACTATCCGGTGCATTCCTAGATTTAACAGACTTTTTATAGGGTCTGACACCTGGGCATGCTTCACTCCTTCTACTCACTCCTTATTGCCTTATCCTGAAATCCTGTCTAACGGACCACTGCTTCAGAGTGAGGTGCAGCAATGAGTTCTCGGAAATCAGACTCATACATGCTGGTATCCCACAAGGGAGCATTCTTGGTCCCATTCTTTATATCATTTATACTACTGGCCTACCTATACACCCCAATACCATCACCACCATCTACACCATTTACTATGACAGAGGCGTCACTGCAATTTTGCCCTCTAACTCGAATCCTAACCAAGCTAGCTCCAATATTCAATATCCAAGAACACCTTGAGGATGGTGCAAAAAATGGAGGACAAGACTGAATGAAGAAAAATGTACCCAGTGAACATTCACATTGACAAAACAGTCTTTGTACATCAACAACAAAGAGATACCGATTCCATTCAAGTCAAATACTTTAAAATTCGGACTATATCTGGACAATAAACTGATGGGGAATCTCCACAACTTAAGGGACAACAACTTAACAGAAGATTTGGACATCTACAAAGACTTCTAGGACTGAAATCCGTGTTGACTATCAACACTAAACTAACCTTATACAAAACTTTACTGCGACCACTTTGTAAATACCAACATACTGTGGGGTTCTGCTAAGCCAACCAGCGCATTCAATCAAAAGTCCCCAGACAAATAGTCAAAGGACATTCTTTTTGCCAACAAACTGATCCATTCCCGATTCCAAAAGCTTCACACCAACCTATCTGTCCATCTTAATCCTACTGCTCAAACTCTCTCTACACATTCCCATTCTGAGAACCGCCATGTTGCCTTAATCAACGATGGCCTCGAAATCTCCTTGCCCCTTAACCACAGTGAGTACCAGCATTGGCTGGTTTCTCATGGCAGGTCTTCTCCAGATGTATCGCTGGCATTAGTGCTAGTGCTGTGGCCATGTGAAAAAATGTTTTGTGATCACATTTGTACTGTATACTAATATGTATAGGTTACAAATTAGAAAATATTCTTTAATATGTTTTATTTACAGTCATTCCTAAAACAATATATTTTTAAAAATCCAGCTTATTTTGGATCACCAAATGTGCAAAATTTATAAATTTCGACTATGGAGTAATACAATTAACATAATGTAATTATTAAATTCACTAATTTTGTGGTCTGCTTGACCAATTAATATATTCAATTAATTAAGGTGTTTTAGTTGAGATAAAAAAGTCAATAGCACGAGCGGGATTCGAACCCACGACCTTCGGCTAGATACGCCGCTGCTCTACCACCTGAGCTATCGTGACCTCGATCCACTCGGACATCAACTCCCCATCTCAACCCCATCGGCGTATCTAGCCGAAGGTCGTGGGTTCGAATCCCTCTCGTGCCATTAACTTTTTTTCATCTCAACTAAAAACCTTATTTAATTGTAATGTTTAATTGGCCAAGAGGACCACGAAATTAGTGAATTTAATGAATTAACTGAAGTACACTTCACTAAAGCTCTCCGTTGCCATTTCAATTGTCGTCGAGAATCCAAACCGATTACACGACATTTGAAAAATGGCAAAAGGAGGGAAAACTCATAAGGTGGGGTTGAGATGGGGAGTTGATGTCCGAGTGGATCGAGGTCACGATAGCTCAGGTGGTAGAGCAGCGGCGTATCTAGCCGAAGGTCGTGGGTTCGAATCCCTCTCGTGCCATTAACTTTTTTTCATCTCAACTAAAAACCTTAATTAATTGTAATTATTAAAGCATGTTTGGGTTTTTAAACGTTTATCCACTTAACCATTCCAGCCAAACTTGAGCTATTTGTTGGTTAATGTGGGTTTCCAATAATTTTGGACTACCTCTATCCTCACTGTTTCTGCCTGTTAACCGACTGATTTGCTTTATCAAAGGACAGCTGACAAAATAACACACATATCAGTTGAACATGCAAGAAGCCAAAACACACCGGACTGCATGAAATAGGCAGACAAAAATAAAACTAGGTAATATACCATTTATGAAATTACCTTTTCATCAAGCAAATTTGGATTACTTGATACAGATCGTAGCTGTCCCATTGATTCGTTTCCACTGTCTGTGTCAGATTCTTTATCTGCACCTAGTGTCACAAGGTTGGGCTGGGAACAACGAACTAATTTCGCTCTTTCTGTCCTAAATAAATTAAAAACAAAATTAAAGGACAGTGTTAAAGTTATTGCACTTAATAAATAAAAAAATATGAGTATGAGAATGCTAAGATGGGGGGGGGGAGTATTTTTGCAAACTGAGCCTTTTTTTCTCTTTTTTTTTTTTAAACCATCACAATTTTTTCCGGGTCTGCTTTGCATTTGAAGTTAATATGGCTTGGTGTTTTCTTCCATTGTCATTCTATAACTTACACATGGGGTATCGTTGAATATATACATGGTCGGTGTTTTTAAATATGCCAGTGACTAGTAGCCTTATCACTACCCGCAATTTTACCCTGTATATTGTCTAACTGCTTGCCAATTTTAGTGTGGGTTCTTTACTGTGTCTGGCACTTCTAGAAAGCACACATTTCTGGAAATGGAGGAGACTATGTTTGACCTTGTCATTGCATTTATAGATTGTGAGCTTATAAATGGTCTGGCAGATCCTCTTCTGGTTTGCTTATTCATTACCCAAATTTTTTTGTCCTGGAATGCAAGTTATTTTCAGGCTGTAAGGTTTTTACAAGGGGCCCGGCCCTTATGAGGCTTTTCAGCATCTCAGGATGAGGACATTCACGTAGCCTACCCAGCAGTTTTATTAAAAGACAACTGAGCCACCATGATTCTGTTAAAAGGAGAACTTCAGCTTCTTCTCAAAAGGAGATCATATTAAAGACTTCTTCCCAGCCATGCATCACAAGTTTCGTATGAATTAATATCACCTATAAGATAACAGGTCATGGGAAGAACATGGCATACCTTCACAGGTTTGATGTAATGTTTGTCCTTGTGACAACATGTCTGTACATTGAGTGGTTGCTTCATATTCAAAGATAATAAACTCTGGACACCAAGTAGACTGGAATACTGATTTTTCTAAAGTTTTTGATAAAGTAAATCACACAATACTGTTAAGGAAACTAATGGATTATGGTTTCACCGGAACTATCTTGAATTGGTTATCCAGCTTTCTTTCCGACTGAAAACAAATAGTCAAAATAAAATCATTTAAATCATGTCCCTGTGCGGCTTCCTCGGGAGTCCCGCAAGGGTCTCATCTTGGACCAGTTTTGTTTCTCTTATTTATTAATGATATCCATCTTGCTCTTCCTTCTGCTCAATTTTTATTATTTGCTGATGATCTGAAAATCTATTCCATAATCACTCCTCCTTCCGATTGCTTACAATTACAAAATTCTATCAATAATGTNCTTTAATTGTATTTTTATATTTATCATATATATTTACCATTTATATTATTACCATGTATATACGTCCTTATTCTTTTTATATATATTATTTATATTTTTTGTTATTGTAAAATGTCTTTTTTATAGTGGATTTCGATCCGTAAATAAATAAATAAATAAATAATATGGGTTGGCAGTTTCGTCCATTGTCGTTGCATAACCTGCTCATCATTGAATATACCACTGCTCAGTGGTTTTTCAAATGTCAGTGACTAGCAGCTTTATCAATCCCCTGAGCTTTATACTGTTTAGCTGTGTGAGTTTGCCAGTTTTGATGAGAGTTCTTTTAATGTGTTTCTCGGAAGTTTGTCCACTTCTCCATTTGATTTTTGTACATCCATTCTGAAATGGAGTGGTTTGATCTCATTATCCCACCTATACATTCTGGATCTATATATGTTCACATAGATCCTCACCTGGCCAGTTTATTCGGCCTGTTCAAAATTCTTTTGTCTCTGGCTTTCAAGTAATTGTAAGGTTATGTTTTCACATGTTTTGAAAAGTTTGGATGCATTCTCCTATTATTTTGGATATGACCATTTTACTTGCTAATGCTTTCAGATGCTTTGCATGGCTGTCTGATTTTATGAGGACTGTTACACACTGATAAAAGTGTAACCTCTTTTAAGATTTTCAATGGCAGAAGCATTACAAGAATGTACTTCAGCTGAAGGACTGAATTGTACTTCCCTAATGAGTTTGGTAGCTGATGCTTTGGTCTTGTAGAGAATATTCCTTATCCGGTTCCTGGTTTTGGGGCCATCTGTGTACCTATTGCATTTGATTTGATGATTTCTTCCTCTCCTTTGTAGTCGGTTAAAATATAGGATGTGTGGTGATTAGTGACTGTTAGTCGATGATTATTCGGAGATCATTCCAGACTGCATCTCACGATCTCTGAATAATAATCGCTTTATAGGATGTTGTAAAGATGGATTATATGACCAGTCCCCATTTCTAGGGTGTCGGATTTATTTATTTTATTTATTATTGTCATTTGCCCTGAATGGTTTCATTGTTTTCGGGGGGTTCGCAACAGCAGAGGTCATATAAACCCTCAGGGTGCCGGTGTTTTTGAAAAAAAGCCCATTTGTAAGTATGTCGGGTTCGAATGCAGGGCCGCTGGATTCGAACCCGGGACCTTTACCTTACAGTGATGAGCTCCGTGTCAAAGTCTAAACCTTGCGGCCACCGACGTCCCCTATAAAAGTTAATGGCATGAGAGGGATTAACTTTACGTACGAGCTTTGCCTAGCTTCCCCTTGTATAAATGTTTCCAATAGAGATAGGTTTAATAGTGTTTCTATGCTAATGGGATTGTTTTTATTGCCCCTGGGATACTCTTCTTTGTATGCCCTGTAATGTATGGATAGCTTGCTTTTGTTAAGCTTTACTTTACCAGATTAATGAGTCATGGAATATCTTAATGTTTTATTACATTGCCATTTTTTTGTTTTAGTCCCCAAGACTTACCTAGGATTATTCTTGTGGCTATTTAATAATGTGGATAATTTACTTGTGATTATGATTTGTTGTAGGTATTAAAGTTTAAAAATTAATTAAATTTAAAAGATTATGTCAACTGAATAAATTATTTACTATTTTATCAATGTTAAACTTACTTTAATTCGTTTTCTCTTAACCTCATCTCTTCCATCTCTTTTTGAATTTTATCTTCGGTAGAGATGTAGCCAGGGCGTTTTGTCCAGTTGGGGTGGTTGTGTGACTGAGCAGGCTCAAAATCCTTTAATAAATGTTTCTAGTATTAGATAATGTCATATTGTATAATGGTAAATAAAGTGTAGTGTGAAATATGGATGATAATAGTGGCTTGATCATTAGAGTTACTCAGTGTATTTGTATTTCTTTTTCCCAATAATTGTTAAGGAACAAAGGAGGGTGGTAGGTAAGGAAAGTAAGTATGAAGTGGCTACAGAGCCTTCCAAACTGCATCCATCAAAATTGGACTATTTGGTGGTATTACAACATGCTTGGATTATTGCTAAGAAAAGGAAACATTGAATAAAAAAATAATACATGCTATTTTGTTGTACTTCAAAAATTTTGAATTCATTCAAATTAATGCACATACCGAAAAAGACAATTTTGGCCTTATAGGTTGTACAGGTGGTTGTGTAGCTACTGGGGCTACGGTTTTCTTTGAATGGGTCTCTATGAATTTCTGCATCAACCCTTTTTGTGTTTTAAACCCAAACAATTGTTTTTTATTTCCAAAACCAAATGGTGTTGATGATGTTGTAGCCATATATTTCATCCCGTTATAGGATGGATAATCGTTCCCATTTGTGTAAAGGCTACTCATAGAAGAGAACTTCTTGTTTAAGGCGAACTCCTTTGTAGAATCATAAGTTTGTGTGGTCTGTAAAAATTTAATCACTTTTTGTTTAAAAATATTGTTTTTTTTATTTTTTATTTCATGGATTATTTTAATTTCATGGATTGAAAGTTCAGTTATTAATGAGTTATCGTATATTAAAACAGCATTCGAACCCGGGACCTTTACCTTACAGTGATTAGTGCCGTGTCAACTCTTAAACCGTTATGGCCACTGACGCTCCCTCGTATAATTCTTAAAAGTTACATCCCGATATGGACATATGTTAACCACTGCCAAAGTTTGACTACATGGGACAAGGTCATTTCAGTCTCGTACACATGCAGTTTTTACTTAAACACTCTCTCACTTTCTTAAATACATTTTTTTTATTTACATACAATTCACTCGAGTAGGGCAATGAAGTACATTTATAAATAACTACACATACACACACACTAAACTTGTTGCCAACATGGAGGCTGATACGAAGAAAGAGCTTGGGAAAAAATTAAAAAGCAGTGGTGACGGTGATAAAAAAACTGGCGCAAAGAGGCCAAACTAAAAATTGATGTAAAGGTGATGAACCATCTACCAATCAAATTATATTTGGTTGGGTCGGTCTTGTGTGTATAATTAATGTTGTGTGTTTAAAATATGCCAAGCTTTCGGTGTTTTATTTCACCTTCCTTAGGGCATGACTCAGTCAATATTTAAATATTACTTTATTTTATCAATATGTATAAAACTTTTTTCTCTTTTGTTAGTATTTCTTATTTTTTGACTAGTCCTCTTTGTTTACATTACATTTCGATTTTTTATGTGATATTAATTTGTAGAAAGGGCTATTTATTTATTTTTAAAAAAACCATTGTATTAGTAAAAAAATGATAAAAAATAACAAAAAGTTATATACGATATATATAAGAAAATAATGTTTAAATATTGACTGAGAATCTAGCCCAGAGAAAAGTGAAATAAAACACCGAAAGCTTGGCATAGTTTGAATACACATCATTCATGGAACCACATCCCTGATTCTACTGTATTGCACATTAAAAATTGCTCCTGAAAAATGCCAATCACTGAAGCTAAGATACAAATTAAATACAAGCTCCATGATTAAAATCAAAGAGAAAAGAATCAAACTCAGCGAAAAGGTAAAGTATCTAGGCATAGTATTGGAAGAAATGTAAAGATCCAGAGAAATGACAAGATGCATCTTCTCGAAATTGAGCTCGATCGCGAAATCAAAATGGGGACTGAGTCCAAGAGTGCCCTCCAACACTTACAAAAGCATACATCAGCCCATCGCCACCTCAGGGACAAAATTGCAAAGCACGAGTTGAAACTTCCTCGACCAGAGTAGTGCTCCTGAGAATGATAAAAGCTTATAGAACAGCCCCTACTCAAGCCCTCCAAGTTCTAGCTTCTGCTCCTCCAATTAACATTGTCATCCAAAGTATAATTGCAATCTGACAGCTAAAAGTCAGAAAGGAGCCAACATTGGTAAACTTGGCTACAAGATTAAAAAAAAAAAAAATATGGCAGGAAAGATGGGACAAAAGCAACTAGTCAAAGAAAAGGTAAGGCTAATCCACAAGTTTCTACCCAGTATTGCAAATCAAGTCAGAGCATTGTGGTTTCAACCAGATTTCTGGATCACCCATATACTGACAGACCACGGAAATTTCAAGGCTAACCTTCACTGGTATCATAGAGCCAACAGTCCTCTGTGTCCCAACTGCAGAGTCAATGACAGTGTCCAACACACTGTACAATTGTCACCTCTTTGAAAGTGCGAGGGAACCTTTTTTTTTTCTATTTATTTTTTTACAATGGATACCAGGGACTGGAAGAGTTCCCTCCTGAGCACTGCAGCTGAGCTGTACAGCTTATTCTACTTTGTGAACTTGAGCCCCCGTTGTTCCCCTGTGTTCTTCCATCGAAGAAACTCATTTTTGAAGGGGGTTGGGACCAAATTCAGGGTCGCTGAGATCCGATCCCACCCCTTCCATTGATAAGTGCCGTGTCAATTTCTTTCGATTGCGGCCACCGGTCCCCTTAGGCGTCAGAAAAAGTCCAGAGGCGACGGTGGGGATTGAATCCATGACCGCGGGATCTACTAGCCGAGAGTCTGACGCCTTAACCACTTGGCTACCGCGGCCCCCCGAGGAAGCATTTAAAATTTCTTTTCCGCCACTCTTTGCCACCGACTCTCAATGAACTAGCCAAAGAAAAGAACGCCCTCAAGCCTGTTATCCGAGCTATAGTCAATAAAGTACCTGAGTAGTTGATAAATTTTTACGTTACTCTTAATTCTGGGCTGATTATTCCCACTGATTACTACTGATTATTCCCATATTTTTGTTATTTATGGTTATTGTATATATTGTTTTTATTGTATTTGCTTTATTAGAAAATGTATTCAAAAGGATTAACCAACAAAGTGGAGACTTTTAGATTAGGAAAATTAATAATAAGAAAATATTTCCCTACCTTCCTTGGGGCCTCCCCTTTTAGGGCAAGGCCAAAGGAAGCTGTTAAGTACCATAAGATCCCCTAAATTTGGAAACCGTAGAAACTAATTTAGTGGCCATTGTCTGCCGGTAAGGGGTCTACCTTAGGTATGGATGGTGGATGGGTAAAAAAAAAATACACTAACTAGTCTAATTTAAAGTCGATCAAGGTACTTGATTTTCTACCATCTTGCACTACACACTCATGCTTATAAATACATTCTCATGAAACAGTTAACACAGAATACAATCACCAAACTTGTTATACATTAAGATATTTCGTCTATTCCTTAAAAAATTGGAATAGGTAATATAAAAATTTGCTGTACTCTTTTTTTTTTTTAAATTTGGCCTTATGATCTTGCATATCATAGTAGCCATAGTACGAATTCTTGTGTGCTCACATTGGGGGTTATCGGGAAAACAGGGCCAGAGGCAACGGTGGGAATCGAACCCACGACCGCGGCGTGAGAGTCTCTCATGCTAACCACTCGGCTACCGCGGTCCCCATTTGCTGTACTTGAGCACCCTTCAATTATGTAGGACACATTGAACTATGTTTCTCTACATGCACATATATGCAAAATTTGGGTCAAAAAGTGTTCATGTGTCAACTGTGAATGCCATTTTGAGCTCTCAAAAATCTAATTTTAATATGACAAATCTGAATGTTTATAGACTAATTTGATTATTAATTGATCACAACTAATAGATACAACAATTGTCTTGCTCTTGTCTTGAAAATGATCAATAAATAAATTTTAAAAATTAAAAATTAAAATATGAAATTAAATAAATTAATAACATAAAAGACGCTTTTAATAATTATAGGAAACAAGTTCTTTCCTATAGCTCCAGGCTTCTTGGGCAACCTTTACTAAACTGAAATGCTACGGATTATTTAAAGAGGATATGTCTCCTATGGAAATGTTTGCCAGAAAATGAAAAGTGTCTTCAGTAGTATGTTTGTTCTAAAAAGAGTTGGAGCTGTTATCTCTTATAGAGTTGTAATTAAGGGGAACAAGTCATATCTACTTTTGAAAAAACCAATTTGAGCAAAAGGCATGGAAGAAAAGTATGCTCAGACATATTAAAGAAGTTTTGTTTAAAAACGAGATTTTTATATAGTACGAATCTGGAGAAATTTTGAGTTTGAGCCAAACAACTGTACGTGCGACAGGTACGGACATTTTGAATCAAATTAGAAAGTAATATCAATCATTCTTTAAGATTGGCATTCAGATGGAATTGATGAGCCAAAGCATTCCAGGAGAATCACAAGATTTTGTATCTAATGAAAAATAACGCTGTTATTTTAAGAAGCCGGTGGGTGGTTAGGAAGATTCAGGACCAGAGGTGTGTAACTTTAATGAATATAAGAAAATGAGGACAACCAAGGACAAGTAATCACATAATGAGGAATTCAATATATTCGGGGAGATCATCTAGAAAGAGAGAGAACAATAATGGACTCAGGCTATAACCCTGTCTAACATCTGAACCAACCTCAAAATAGCTGGAAATTCATAGCTTCTGACTGCCAATCACAAGTGAGCAAATAGTGATTTAATATGGAGAGGGTTTTTGCTGAAAATTTGAGGTTACTGAGTTTGAGTGCGCACATGAAAACAATTAAAAGCTGCCTTGAAAATCATGATTTTTAAAAATTTAAATCTAGATTGACAATATTTTTTAGAGTGAAGGTATTGTCTATTGTTGAATATCCTTTACAACAGGGTAGTACTATTAGTTTGTTAATTTAAAAAAAAATTAGAAGGTCACTACTATATTCACCTTGTTACTAGTTGTATTGAACACCATAGCACCAGCTGGTATCATCATGTTTCCATTTAAATCATGATTCTTTTTCTTGCAAACCCTAAACGTAAAAATAAAAAAGGTGATGAAGTATGGAACAATTTGAAATGTTCATATATTAAATGTTGAATCCATGTTTAAACTGAAGCATTATTAACTTACCTATCGACATCATTTGAATTTACAACTCCTTTGAGTGAAGTATCTGATTTTGTTTCCATGAGCATGATCGCATTTTTCCTCTCTTCTTCCAAAGCCTTTTCCTTTTCCTTCTGAATTCTGATCTCTTTTTCAATAAGGCTCTCAGTTTTGGGTTCTAACTTTTTTACAGCCACCTTGGTCCCCACTTTGTCTTTCATTTCGGTAGACATTTTATTTTCCCAATAAAGCTTTGTGTCTTCTTTATACTTTAATATACTTTTAGTATTAATGGCACCTACAAAATATTTATCGTTAATATTAAAATTCTGTAAAATTCAAACTTGTCTATTAATAATATGGTTTTATTTGTCTATCGTTTAAATCAAAATATATTAAAACACAAAAAAAGATTTGGGAGATTAATGGTTTTTCTAGCTATATTTCTGGCATAACAACAATCATAATCAAGGAATAATTAATCTAGTTAATAAAATTATATGAAATATTAATTATTTCAGCTGTGTTTTAAGTTAACGGTTGCATGATATCTACTGTGTTTTTGATAGAGATTGTCTACTAAATGAATCACATAATTATTATGGAGGTTTTTTTAAGGTTTGGGGGTTGATTAAGAATTTTAAAAATTCTTTCCTCTACTGTGATCTATATAGATCTATTGTGGAACCTCTATAAATTATAGCCATACCTTGGAAAGTGAGCTTTTTCGTATAATGCTAAGCATTTCCGTGGTACCTCTTTGCGCACCTCTTTTGGTGTGATTTCCTTACTGGTTTAGACCGATTAAGAATGTTTAAACTTTCCCACTGCATGGTTAATTTTAACAAGTTTTAATTTTAAAATTGAGGTGAATATTCACTGTGATAAGCAATTTAATAAAATAAAGATTTGAACTTCAATTGAGTAAGCAGATGGCAGAAATGTGTTATTTAATGGTTTTATAATGTTTATAATAAATCAATAATACTGAGGGAATCAATACCTGACATAGAGATTTCCAAAATGGCTATAATGAAATGAACATATTTTTATTTTATTTTTTCAAATCAATGAAGATGATTCCTCATCAAAAGGCAAGAATCATACTAGCATTATCTAATCTTCCGCCTGACAAACGCTAATCTCGAGAACTGTATTGATTTGAATCAGGGCGAATTATTTAGGCGACTTTCCTCAATGGCAAATTCCAGATGACGCGACTAAACAAATATTGAAGTCAAATTAAAAAAAAAAAAGTTTTCACCCAAACAAAAAAATTATCGCATTGACTGTAGTTAAATAGTGTTAGAGCTTAATTGCCTGGAGGAGTTTTAGATTTGCCACAAGTTTGATCATTCTCGCGCGTTCCGCTTTTTGGCATTTGGGCCATAAAGGAAAATAAAAATAGACAAAGAATAGGTCAAAAAAGGTAGGAAAAATGGTTGACTGTGAAATTACGTGTATGGTGCAAGAGTTGACCGGGTTTTTATTCGGAAGAACAGTTTGGTTTTTACTAATTAATTAATTCAGAATTTATTTGTTAATTATTAATTTACATGTCCGATCAACTCTTGTGCCATGCATTTAATTCCCCTTATTCGTCCCGGACCACGTTTTCCCAACTTCCAAATGAAATTGCCCATCAATCAAAATAATCGAGCTTTCGAAGACGCCGTTGTAAAGCTGATACAATTTTAAAGTTTTTCGATGGTTTGACATTTTGTAAAATGAAATGTAAGGAACTACCTACGTTTTAAAGACGTTGATCCCAAATTACAATTTTGCAAATTTCATGATGTTTGTGCAGTTATTTTGTAAGTAGACTGGCAATTTTTAGAACAGAAGTGTACTAATCTGAAAAGAAATGTTTTGCTAAATCTAAAAATGTGGTCAAAATTTGGGAAAAGTTAAGATTGATCGGAGAAAATTCAATTTTTAAGTAAAGAAACGTGTTTTTCTTAAAAAAATACTAAAAAAATCGAAACTATTGAACGGAGTGAGATAAAACCGCGAGCACACGTTAGATGGAGTCACCGAATTTTTGTTTTTTACACGATGAGCTGACCACCCTATATAAATTCGCGAATTAAATACAATAAAACTAAATAAATAGATTTGAGCAAGGGAATTTTTACGAAGTAGATCATCTGGCCTAAATTAATAATTTTTTAAAGCAAAATAACATGTAGCTAAAAAATATAAGATTAATATTCAGCAGAAAGACTCTAAGGACGATTAAGGATGGTATACAGACAATAGTGGAAAAAACAGCGAGAATAAATGACCGGTATATTTAGAGACGATTTAACTGCTGACATATAAAAATTCTGCAAAAACGTATGATTCTCAGCTCATTTTTTACGCTTTACACAGGCTTAAATTTCTTGGTGCAGCAAAATAAAAATCTTTATTCTATTGTAATGAACTCCAATTCATTCGATAAATACGATCTTTATAAAATATTCGTCAGCGTGAGTTTTGAAAGAAATAACTTAAACATCTAAGAGGGAACGATGCTAGTGGGATGAGTGTGGGTTCCAAGGCACATAGGTATAACCGGGAGTGAAAAAGCAGATAAGGAAGTAAAGTTGGCCACGACGGGACAGAGTGAAACACGTCAAAATGATAGAAAGTTAAAAAAAGACATCGGTTCCTGGAGTGCGGATGTCGCGTCTGGAAGGGAAACCTCGGCGTCCGTGGGTACATGGTACGACACTCATTGGCACCTATTAACGGGAGACATTGCCGGTGCACGTTGTATAAAGAAATTGACACTGCAGAGCGAACGAATGTAGACAATTGAGTATGCAATTCTACATTTCACACGACCTTTCATTCACGCTAATAAATTACATTTACTCGATGAGTATTCGATATAAATATTTACCCCCAAAGGGTCGTCACGTCAGGAGGGCTCCTTCATTCAAACTAATAAATTACATTCACATTGCCCCAGGGTACTCGTTATTGCTTGGAGTGATTGTGGAAAGCCCCCCCTCATTCACGCTAATAATTACATTGACACATCAGACTTCATTCACACTGCCCCAGGGTACTCGATTTTCCTTGGGGTGATTGCTACTCACGCTCATAAATTACATTCACACATCAGACTTCTTTTAGACTACCTCAAAGTACTCGATATTGCCCAGGTTGATTATGGAAGAAGCCGCTACATTCACAGTAATAAATTTATTCATCGGGGCGTCGGCGGCCGCAACGGTTTAGGCGTTGACATGGCGTCCGTTACTGTAAGGTAAAGGTCTCGGGTTCGAATTCAGAGCCGCTGGATTCAAACCCGAAATTCTAACAAATGGGCTTTTTTTTTCAAAAACACCGGTACCCCGAGGGTTCATATAACCTCGCAGTTGAAATAACCTATTAAAAAATACATTACGACGCCAGACATCTAGCCTAGACTATCGATTTTTGAATGTACAATAATTTATTAGTTTGTAAGTAGAGGCACCCAGAGCGGTGTGAAATAAGTCTGTTGTGTGAATGTAATTTATTAATGAATTTATTTGTGAAAGGGGCTTTTCCCCAATCACCCCGAGCAATGCTGAGTTACCTGAGGCAATATGAACGAAATTTATTAGCGTGAATGAATGGGCATTTTTCCTCAATCGCCTCGAGCAATATTGAGTACCCTGAGGCAGTGTGAATGTAATTTATTAGCGAGAATGGAGGAGTGTGAAATCAGTCTGTTGTGTGAATGTAATTTATTAGCATGAATAAAGGGGCTTTTTCTCCAAACACCCCGAGCAATATTGTGTTCCCTGAGGCAGTGTGAAATGGAAGGGCTTATACCCGCCCCGAGGTATACCAAGTAATCTGTGGTTGTGTGAATTAAGTTTGATGTATGAATGTAATTAGTGTGAATGGAGGAGCATATCCAGGTACGCTATTAGGTAGTGTGGATGTAATTTATTAGAATAAATTAAGAGGTTTTGTCTCCAATCACCCCGATCTTATTGAGTACCCTGGGGAAGTGTGAAACAAGTCTGTTGTGAGAATGTAATTTATTAGTGTGAATGCAAAGGCTTTATCCCCCTTCACCAAGAGTATTAAGTATTCTGTGGGCAGTAATGTAATTTGTTAGTAAGAATGCTTATACCCCATACTCCGAGGAGTACTCTGTGGTTGTGTGTACGAAGTTTCGTGTGTGAAATTAATTTATTAGCGTGAATGGATAAGCATACCCTCAATTACACTGAGGAATATCGACTACTCTGGGATAGTATGAATGAAAGTATTAAGGCAATTTATTAGCATGAATGAAGTGTCTTTTCCCCCAATCACTCCGAGTAATATTGTATACGTTGGGCCACTGCGAATGTAATATATTAGCGTGAATGAAGGAGCTTCTTCTCTAATGACCCCGCGCTATATCGAGTAGCCTGGGGTACTGTCAATGTATATATTAGCGAGAATGGTGTGGCTCATTCCCAAATAATCACAAGAAATTTTCTAAGGGGATGCTTAATATTCAAAATTCTCATTCTTGTTGTTTAAGTCGGTTACTACGTTTAATATTGAAGAATTATGATATAGGATTAAAAAAACTCATATTTTGCAGTCGCACATTTTCTCCGCTGTACGAAAAAAGTGTAGTTGATCAGTAATTGAATCATGGATATATAACTTAATCCGTACACTAACTAACCCCACCTAATCTAATCTAACTTTTCTCTGACCCTAACCCTACCTAACCCGGGAACGTGAAATCGGTGACACGTAACAAAATTGTGAACCCAGCCTAAAACAACAAAATAAAGGATAGATTCGAAGGTAAACGGGTACTTTATACGTTCGTTGCTTAGTTATCAGGCACAGAGCCTATAAACTAGCTATAACTGTAAACAAAAAAATTCCTGGACTACGTTTAATTTCTATAAAATATGTGTTTACACGTATGCACGTTGTCTTCTTAAAATGCCGACAATCTGTAAATGTTATGCATTTTGGAGGGCGTCGGATGGAAGTAAACGTCGCCCGTTTTATGGGTATTATTAAAACAGAACTCACTCAGTTTGAACTCAAGGTTGACAAACCAAGCCATACAATCACGTTTCGGTATAATTGGGTTCTAATTAAAATGAGCTGATTGAGGAGACGGTTGATGAATGATGAATGCAAACAATCACGTACCAATTTCGCACGGTTTTATCCGATTAAATTTATCGCTGACTGGATTGACACGTAATGCTTCAATTAAAATAGAATAAACGGAATTACCAATCGGTATAAACAAAAATTGATTAATAGAGACCAACTGGTTATAGATAAAAGGTAAAAGTACTCCACTTAATTCCATGATGTAATGAAAACAAGGTTGATACGAGGATGATAAACAGGTTTCATTCTTGAATTTACTAATAAAATTCGAAATTTCAAATGCAATTTGTTTTTATTTAAAAAAGTTTAATATAGCATAGACAAAAGGAATTCATCATTCTTATATTCATATTATGCCTTTAGACATATATTAGATTTGAGTTTGCATAATTATTGTAATAAATTAATTTTTATTTTATTTTTCCTCACAAGAATAGGTTGGGGGGGGGGGTCAGCTAAAGACATCAGCACATGTCAAAAACTGATAAATCTATCGAAAAAGTGATTGTTCAAGGCAGTTTACATTTTTGACCAGAGGAATTTTCATCCAGCTGTATTAAAAATAGAATTTTCAAGTTTAAACGATTTCTGAACGGCTGTAAAACCGAATTTGATAAGATCAGCTGGTTTTGTTTTTGTTTTGTTCGAACAGCAGAAGGCTTTTGGATTATTTAAAATCGAAAGCAATAATTCGTTAAAATTTCCTACTATGAAAATCGAAAATGTAAACGGGATGTGCTTTTAAGTTCTTGCAACGTCCCCATTGTTTTGTTAAAGCCGTTTTATTTGTTAACAATTATTTTCATTCTTAATCTCAAGTGCAAAGGAAATGATAAGAAAAACACTTTTCTTTTAATAAAAGGCGTTATCAATGTACACATGAACGCAAAAATATGGTTGGCCATTAATGGATTAATACTAATTACGCAATTTTATACAATTTCCCTTTTTATGGATCAAAAATTTTTTTTTTGAGCAGAAAATAAAATACGAATAGTCTGGATCTTGGTATGGTCTGTACGAAGGAACAAATTAAATTGTTACCTATTTTGGTAGAAGATTGGTTAGTCCTTAGCCATGTCGGGACCGAGTCAGTCTTCAAGGAAATTCCTATTTAAAGCCTAATTATGTCAATTTGTGTACATATTTAAAACTGTTTTGTATGATCTATTATAGTTATATAGTTGAATCAATCTTACAAATATGTATTCATGATGTGTAATTAATACAGTCCCTGACGATTACCTTAAAACAGGTCGAAAGCTTGGCAGTAACAATTGAATTTGTTTCTTCATCCAGACTATACCAAGAGCCAGACAATTCTTGGGTAAAAAAGTGGTCAATGCAAATAACAATTTAAATAGGACATGAAATAGAGAGGATAAAAAATGTTTCTGATCCAAAATTAATGGAATAACTGAGATAATTTTTTTTCTATATGTAAACAATCAATCACTCCGTATAAATGTAGAACATGGTAAAACTAAACTTTTTCATAGTCGGAATTTCAGGCTAGGATTAATTTAAAACAGAATAATTGACAGTTCTCTATAATTCTCCGATATTGATCAAGTTGTGCAAACATTTTGAACATGTACAAAATCTTAAATCTTATCTTAAATTTATGGATTAATTTAAGTAGAGAAATAATATTTTAAAAATAAAAATTCGTGGTGTTTCATCAAAAAGCAAGACGAGGAAGAAATGTGCCATAAAGGGATTTTCTGGAGGTCCAACATGCAAATTTAACAAAGCCATCATGCACCGGTTTGCAACGAAAAAACTAAATCTACTTAAAATCAGCAAGTAAATTGGTGGATCCATCATTCAACAAATATTGATGAAGTCGTGCATTTTCGTGCATAGACGGTTGATGCGTTCGCCGGCTCCGCTTTCCCCTCAACCCAATCTGCATAAATGAAGAAATAAAAAAAAATCAATCAACAATTTACTTACTATTTACTCTATGGACTTGTCCATTAACATTTGCTTCAGACGAGGACGTTTTCTCCATCTTTATTACCAGAACCTCCAAAAACAGTGTAATAATGCCTTGTCTGGAAATTAAAATTGGATCACTGATTTTTCGGAATGGGCAGACCCGTTAAATAGACACTCGGATTTTGGAAGGGTTCACTATTAATGTCAATTCTCTTGGCGCAATTGTATTCATAGTGGAAATATGGATCACCGTGGAATCAGCCCGACTGAGGTCTGTTTCAACCGGTCAATGGAAATCCGACCAACTTCTCCTTGACAAAGTCAAAACATCAACAGACTCTACCCCGTTTGGCACAAACCAAAACAAATTATATGTCAATGATTTTTATCTTTCGGCAAAAATGAAAAGGAGTGGGTCAGCAAATAAAGGAGTTAAATAAATGATAACATTGGCAAAAACCTATCTCCCCTCTATTTTTAGCATTTCAAATACAAACCTCTACCACTAGAACATATATATATTAAAACGAACATATATATTTATTAAAATATATGTATTAAATATATATATAGCAAGTCCTGATGTACAGAAGGGCTTAATGTCCCACTTCCCGGGTAATGGAGGCGGATTAAAATTGACAAATATAGCTGAATCTAAACTTACCTACAGGTCCTAAGCAAAATCCGGCTTAATTGACAAAACGTAATTTTGAAAATTGGTCAAAACATTGAATTTCTTTTTAACCAGAACCGAACCCTACTCAACTACTCAATTTAACAGTGCCATATACTTCCACGGTTGTTTTTATTTTAGAACATATGATTTTGTACAGTTGAATAATTCTCAATCAAAAAATTTTGATTTATTTACCACTGGTTGAACTGTTTTTTAAATAATTTAGTTTGATTTGTGGCATAAACTTCTGAAAAATACACTGATTATATTAAAGTAATGCACCACCCTTAAATTTTAATGTATTTGTGATTATTTTAGAGGTTGTGAGATGCGGTCTGGTCACCGATCTCTAAATAGTCATTAATTAACGGTCACTAAATATTATACACGTATTTCATTGCAAACCAAAAATAGGTTTGTCTGTAAAAATAAGGCACTTACATAGAAAATGTTTGTTGCCCATTTCTACAAGAACAATTATTGAGTAATGAAAAAACACAAACTTCAAAAATAAATAAAAATGTAAAAAAACAACTTTTTTGTCCCCCTTTAGTATTGAATATTTTTTCGACCTCTGGAACGAATCATGTCTGTCAAACGACTTTGCATTCCTTACAAAAGATTTCTGGAGGAATTCTGAGGAATTCTTTCCCATTCATCAAGAACAACCGTTTCCAACTCTTGTAGGCGGACCTGAGTTTCGCCATCGAACTCGTCGCGCAAGTTGGTTCCAAATGTGTTCGATTGGGTTCAAATCTGGTCTTCGAGCTGGCCACACCAAGCACTCAATTTGAACCTCATTCAGGTAGTCTCCACAGTAAGTGTTCTATGGGTTCTGTCATTATTCTGCATTAGCGAGAATCTCTCACAATGCGGGGGGGCAATGGCACTACATGTTCTTCGATTATGTCTTGTAAGTACCTGTGTGAAGTTAGAGGTCTTCCTCGCACAACGACCAATTCGGAGCGGGCATCCAAGGAAATACCACCCCAGAACATCAATGACCCACCGTGGAATCCCACCTGAGGAAATATACAGCATGGGGCGTATCTTTCTCTTGAGAGTCTCCATATGAAATTACACCCAACTGAAGATTTGAGGCTAACTTTCACCTCATCTATAACGTGAACTCGTCCCCAATCATCCAATGTATAGTAGAATAGTAACGTCATTTTCTGAGCTGTGGTAAGAAGAGGTCCAGGAGCCGGGTGCTGTGGCCTGAGGTTATTTTCATTGAGCCTTCTTCTTAAGGTGCGTATACACTAAGCAAATCTCGGCCAACGAAAGACAAGCAGTATCTTGGGCCGAACCTTGGTCACCAACACGTTGGTCATCCTTGGCTCATCCTAATCAAACCGATGGGTTGGAGCCAAGGGATTAGACTATGAGGAATCGAAGTTGGCTCTAAAAACGAAAAAAAATTGTTGACTTCCTTAGCACTACTTTCAGTTTTGTTTTCTTCTCTTTGTTTTTCACGAAACGATGTAAATAAAGATTCCAGTTTCTTTTTCACATCGTTCACACTACGTTCTAAAAGCTCACTTATTTCCCTCCAAGCGTCTAATCTTTGCAATTTGTTTTTATATTCACAGTTCATAGGGTTGCATAAAAATTCCCGTTCACTATAAAATCAGATCAGGTTTAGTGCAGTCCCATTATTCCGCTCCATGTTCCAGTGTATACAAGAAGAATGAACCAACGAACGATCGAGCCGTCTATACTAGTAGGAGGCCTTTAGCCAACCTAACGTCAAATCTCTTGAAGTTACCGCGAGCAGTCCGAACAGCGACCAACGCCAACCGCTTTGCTGGCTCTGATTTGCCTCCCGAACACGGCCAATGAAGCGGAAGTTTGTCTTTCGTTGGCCGAGATTTGCTTAGGGTGTACCCAGCTTTACTAGTCCTGGAGGAAAGTGAAACATTTCGGACATGTCTTAAGAGATTTCTTATCTCATTTCCCGTAATGCTGCGGTTTCATAGAGCGTATTGAAGGATGAATCTTTCGTCTCTCTCGTCAATAGACCTAGGTCGATCATGTCCTTGCCTTCAAGTATGAAACTCCGTTTCTCTGAAGGGCCGAAGAACCCTTCCTATTGTAGAGTGATTCATTAAACTCATGGCGACTTCTTGCTGGCTGTATCCTTCCTCTAACAATGTTATGACCCTGACATTGTTAGAGAATTGATACTCTCTCAAATGCCTGAATGGAGCCATTGAAAAAGGTTTAAGGATAAGAGTAATATCAAATGAAATCTACGAAGGAAAAATATTAACCGAAAGTGATCTTTTGGCAGAATGGAAGAGCATAATGCTACTTTTTGGGCAAATGGGATTAATCAGTACAAAAGTCAACAAAGAATTATTTACTGTGTTTTGACTACAATAGCTCCTAATTACATGTAACTAATATAGAAAGATAATGATTTTAATTTTAAACTAAATAAATGGAGTGGTGCGTTAAATTTGGCCATCAGTGTATAATAAAATGTAAATATTTACAGTTATAATTGTTTTAGGAACTCGTGGAATTAAAACAGCTGATGCTGAATTCTTTTCGAACATTTATAATTGTTGAAACGTTTACTTCTACGTTTAATTTTTCAAAACAATATCCTTTTCGTTTCATAATATAAATTGAATCGAAATAGTCAATATTGAAAGAATTTCATTTATTTTATGAACAAAAATCAATGAATTGAAATATATCCACAAAATTCGTGGACTTTTGATATTTGGACCTGCATCCTGGTCGTTTCCGATCATTTCGATCTGCCTTGGTTCTATATATTGTAGAAAACGTGTGAGTACACGATGTAAGACAATTTAGCGAGATGGTGGGGATTTGGCATTTTATAGGAAAGTGGTGTCTACCATTCATGTTTTTGTGGTAAATTATCCTGAGTGAATGTATTTATTGGCGTTGTGATCTGAGGAGCAAAATGGACGGAATATCGAGTATAAACTCTGAATAGCCCTGAGTTTCGATTTGTATTTTTTTCCCTTTAAGTATTAGCATGTAGCTTGGTCGTTTTCGATCATTTTGGTGTACCTATCTTCGCTGTTTTTGCCCTTCCGTAACGTGGCTCTATACAGAAAGCGTGTAAGCATTCTGCTCGATTTGAAATATCAAGTATTTGCCCAGACTGACCTCGAAATTTATATTTATCGATTTTTTATTGCTGAAATATTAAATGTAGCTTGGCCGTTTCCTATCATTTTGGTCTATCTTTGTATCCTGGCCCTATATAGAAAGCCGGAACGTATCTGACAAACTGAAATGATCGGAAACCTGCTATCACATCTTGTAAAACATCTTATTTCAAACTTCAAAAAAGGCAATTTGTTTTCTTCGCGAGCTTCTACATTCGAAAATAGTTGTTGGACCCGAAATAGCCGACGGCGCTTTTTCCACTTAACACTTTCAGAAATAATGGGGATGACCCCTCAATAAAATACGTGCTGCCCAGTTTGAACGTGTAATTTATTTTAATTTGCCCCCGTTTGAATATAACTTACGATTGATCATTGATTGTGCATTCGTTGAAGAAAAAATCGATTTCACCAATTTAACAACTATAGCTTCTGAAATCGACTTTTGAGGTCAAATCGAAGACAATGTACAACTACACAAAAATACAATTTAAAAAATAATAATATTTAAATTTTTTTGTTTGAAATGCTCGTTTTGAATTGAAGTTTCATATTGTTGAACTTAAAAGTACATAAAAAACTATTTTAAAATAAACCAATTTAGTCATTTCAGCTTTCATTATTTCATGCCAATAATATTTTAACATAAAATAGCCATGTTGTGCGAAAAGTAATGGCTAATTGAACATAATCAAATTTTTGAGGGAAATTGAGAAAAAACAGAACAAAAATGTTAACCGTTGTACTTTGAATGTTTCAGCTGTTTGTACCGTTATTTAAACTTTCCAAATTTATTTATTTCTCGATACTTTTCCCTTTTTATGTGCAATATGTGAGTTCTATGTTGAAATTGTTTGATTGTTGCGAAATAAACTATAAATTTAGCACGGTAAATTTTTGGAAAATTTTACACGCACAGTACACAGGCTTGCACGCAAAAATATGCTGCAAAACCCAAATTTAATCTGTTCTAACAGGTTTTTTAATTAAATTAAATATATACTTTCCATAATATTTAAAATATAGAAATTCCAAAGGTAATAGAGAATATATTAGTTAATATTGTATAAGATTTTGGTGCGATAAATTCATAAAATGACAATGGTTGGCCGAAATGTAATGTTCATAGTAGTCATTCGTGCTTTCCAAACAAACTTAAAAAATATTAACATAATAAAAAACTGTCCAAATATGTAGAAGAAGAAATAAATTAAAAAAATATGGTTTAATTTAGATTTTTCAATCTTACAGTACAATAAAAATAACTTTCTTATTTAAAACTTGTGTTTGTCTGTCTCAGAAATGTCCTTTTTAAACGAAAAACCCCTTGTGTTTATTAATTAAATTCAAATTCAGTTTTGTAGGGTTTCTGTATACAAATATAACTGTATTTTTCCACTTACATGTTGAATGTGGCAAACATTATTAAATTCTATAGCCGTTTGCAAGCTGCCAGACTTGTTGATTTCAGCCTATAGATGAGAACAGGTGCAATTGCCAATATCACAAATCCTTTCCTCATTTTTTTGTACATTTATGGAATCTAGAACAGACAAAAACATAGCTTAGTAGCAATTCAAAATATAGTAGTAATATAGTCAAACAAAGTGATAAAGAACATGCTCAGATTCATAATTGACCAGACATAAGCGACATATCAGATTTTATGGTAATTTTGTCAATTTGTTAATATTTTCTTTAGTGTAGAACTCTTTTTCCTAACTGTTAATCTTTACATTAATTTTTGATGAAATAATGAAGTTAGTAAGTTTTATTGTTGTAAATTCTTCAAATAATTGCTAGTAAATATGCTATAATGAATATTTCATTTAGTCTTTTTTTTTAAATTATTAACTGCTCTCTGTACAAAAATTGGCAGAATAAATAAAATAAATAAAGCTCTGACGTGAAGCTCTGATGGTCACTGCTGGAACTGTGGTATTTACGAGAGTTCATTTAGCGTTATGTTACGACGTCAATGTTTCCTTAGGCGAAGTTGAGGATTGCTAGGGTCTAGGAATACCTAGGTCTTTCTGGATGATTTTTTTTATTTTTAGAAAAAATAAAATCAATAATTCAGAATTACTTTTGCTTTTGTAATTTAGTTTCACTTATTATTAGACCTCATGATTGTTTGTTCTATTTGTTGGAGAACTGTGCCGATGGTGTTTTCTCTTCTGTAATTAATTTTGATTCATAAAAATCCAGATTTAGTCAAAAGATGAAGATAAAATTAAAAAATGTTGAAAAGATATGTGAATAAAATGTTGTTGATTGCGTATGCAATGAACCATTACTTGGCACGCAAATGAAAAGATGTTTTCTACTTGCCTGTTTTTTCTTATATTTTAAATGTAAAAACAATTTATTAATTAACAAAATTGTAAACAAATAAACTACAGTTTAAGATATTGAAAGAATGATTTACGATTTTTTAAATAATTTTTATAAAGTCACAAATTATAAATTGGTGATTATTCTGATTTGTGCAATTACATCCGATTGATGTTATTCCGATGAAAATCCATGAGCAATGCCAGGAATCGAACCCATGATCATAACTGCAAAAAATCAAGAAACCATCACCCTAATGATCTCAGCCATTGGACTCCTCCTTCATATATAATTAATTTTAATCTATGATTAAAAAAATAGATAATATTACATATTCTGCTCATTAAAATAATTTTTTTCTTGATTTAGTTTAGTTGGTAAATAAAAAAAACAACAGTTGAAAACGTTTATTAATGACACTTGTTATAAGAATATTTTTTTCTATTTAGTTTTAACATTAACATTAAAATTGTTTGAAAGAAGTTGGATATTGAAATTATGTGACGAAGATGTTTTGCATTGCAAGTATCACAGCTCAACCTGATTTTTTACTAGAATGATGAATGAGACAGCATTGTCCACCGCATTTCTTCTTTTTCACGATTTTCACGTTTCTGTAAAAAAAAATACATATCAAATGGTATGCAAATTTTTTTAAACACCTATTTAAAAATACAAACCATTTTCTCATTTTGCTTTGCGTTTTTAGACAACGAGCACATTATTCCTGCAAACTCCTAAACAAAAATTATTAAATTGAAAATAGGTGAAACATTGAGTTGAGCTTGATTCTTTCCAATCATCCTAGATCAAGCACTGAATATTGTCAAATGCTGACAGGCCATATAAGTGAAAATAAGGCAGGATGATCAGATATGATCAAACTAAAAATGATGCACATCATTACCTACGTTTGTCACGTACATTTTTTTTATTGTAAAAATATAAATAGACAAGAAGGTACTCAATACAAAACGTGCCCATAAAGAAATAAAAATACATTACATATATATTAATAGTTTGGCTCATTTCAGTAGACTGTATCCCTAGATAGTGTTTATCTTTACTAGTTGTCCGAAATTTAAAAGAAAAATGTTAAAAAATGCACATTTAGTGTTAAAAAAAAATTAGATTATGCGTGATTTTTAAGTTTTCTTACTTTACAAAGCTGAGGTTCTAAAAAATATTCATTTTGTACCCTGAGCTCATGAGTTGTACAGTGCATGAGGCAGAAATGGTTCCACAATATTCTGTCATTTGTAAAACGTGCTGGACATCCGACACAAATGTATCGATGGTTAGCGAGCTCCTCTTCGATATTTATTTCAAATGACATTAATGAAATGTAAAGGTTTCAAGTCGCGGTATTCTTTGTCTTTAAGTTCTTTCGCCTTCCTACCAACCAAAGGAAAGTATAAACTGAGCCCTAGAAAGCAAACTGGGGTAGGACGCAGATAATCAGCACAGTGAGTAATAAGACTAAAATCTCTCCCTGTTAGCACAGTCGAGATAACTAATAGAAAATGAATAATTGGAACATTAGATTTAATAAAAGACTAAAATCTTGATAAATGAGAACGGTAAATTTTGATTCATTAAGTGTTAACAAAACGATTAGGTAAATTACTGAATAAAAGGCATTTATGCAAATGGAGAACAAATCATGATATTTACTGTCATATATTTCTTAAAATTTGGCTAATTTAATTAACATAGATTTTTTTTTAAAGTATGGGACGACTGAAAAATGGCGGGATAATACATAGTTGTATTGTATTTCTCCAGCACAGGTCTGCAACCAATTTTCTACAGATCTACATCCGGTTTTTTAATATATACGTACATATATTAGAAAAAACTGAACCTGGAAACTGCCTTCCCAGGTCAACACAAACATTAGTTCAGCTGAGAGATAGGACGTTGGATTTCGGAAGATCAGTAAACTGAGTGTTGGGCACATTTACATTGCCTGCTATGCGATACGATGTCGCACGACTAGAAGCTGAAATCGCAAATAATTGAGCTGCCATTGAACTGCATGGATTAACTTACGATCTGTTGACACTGGAAGCCATGCGATGCTATACCGCGATGAGCTTGCTGCTTTAATCTCAAATCATTTTGTGTTTCATGCCATTTGGACGAGCTTTTTTGTCCTTTTCAACGCGTTGTTTATACCCATAAACACACAAACGTTTGAATTTAACAAAAACTTAATTCTATCACAGATTTTCAGATGTCTTATGCTGTAAAATCATGATAAAAACTGGGTTGTGTATTACGTGTAAATATATACCTTTTTTTAATACTTTCACGGAAATTATTGTTAGTTGTGCCTTAGGATGAGGTGATGTAAGCAGTCTAAATGTACTATATTTTATGAGTTCATTTTGACTTTAAATCGCAAGAAAGCAGGATCACAGACTACAATCTACCGAGGTGTGACGCGTGCTCTCACAAATGAACAGCGAATGTTAAAAATACGACAAATCTGTAAGAGTTGAGGCAAGTCTTCGTCGGACGGGCTACAGCCACAGAAGAAGTCGCCCAGCGAGGGGAATGTCGCCTGTTATTATCCTGGACGAAGAGAGATTATTCCAAAGAAGAAAATTAGGAAAAAAGAAGAGAGTATAGCCGCGAGCAATAAATCTGAACGCCAGACATTCTCCTCCTATCGAACGCCGTCAAATTAATGAAAAGGAGGTTAACGTAAAATAAACATTTTTATATTGTATAAAGAAACACGACTTAAGTACAAAGACAGTTTAAACCAAAGTAAAAAGAAATTATCGCAAAAACTTGGCATGTTTCAGTTTAGAAATATGCCAATTTAATTTTTTTTTTTTGGGGGGGGGCAATTTAATGTATAAAACGTTGTTCACGATTTTATTCAGGCTTTTGGGCAAAGACGGGCTTTCAACATTACACCAATATTTACCTACGTACTTTATATTTTTGTTATCAACCTATCTTTACTGATATTATCATTAATCCCGTGCGTCATAAATAAAGTAATTATGCAATAATAATAATAATGTATAATAATCAAATAAAGCAATACAGGGTGTTGATGAGAAATTTTTTGGCTGATAATCACCCTATTTGTAACAATTTCCAACGTATAGTTTGTATGACAAGTTTTGATTTTTGTTAATTTTTCCATTGAAACGTTACCTTACTTGAGAAATACACAAACATTTACAATCAGGGATACGAGTTTTGGATTCAAACACCACTTGGTGGGATATCTTTGGTTTAAACAGGCACACACTTGTTGGGTGTTTGTGTACAGTTCAGTAGTGAACAGTGCTGGAGATTTAAGAATTAAAATCCTCGAAGCATGTGATAAACTAAGAACCAATTTAACTACACGAGTAACTGTAGTTCCCAGGAGAAAAAGACTACGGATGTGTGTCAGACATGGTGGTCATTTTGAAAACAATTTATAATGTCTAATGGTTATAAATCATTCAATAATTTATTTTGGAGAAAATTATAAAACTTGAAAACGAAACAGTTCTATTTATCGTCATCACCTGACCGTGATCGTTTATCTCATGTACATTTTTCAACATTTGATATACAATTAGCATACTGCAATCAGGAGGAGTTATGGATATTCTTGTACCGTTTGAAAGCTTAATAAATAATGGACGTTTTGTGTGTTTGACTAAAATAATGAACTGATGTGAAGTTTGACAATCTCTCCAAATTTAAAGAAATATGTGACAGTAAAGTAAAAGGGTATAACTTCATACATTATTTCTTAAAAGCCAAATTTTGTGGTATTTTTCTAATTTGAGCATTTATTAAGGTTCTTAATTGAAAATTAGTTAAGACGAATATTATAATTATACGAATAATTATTAGTTTTTCAAATCCAATTAGGTTTGTTACCACTTTAATCCGTATACTATACTAAATGAAAGAAACAAAAATGATCTCGTCTCGCCTTAAGTTTTGTCTTAGTGTCTGGTTAAACAACATGACGGTAAAATTCGAAATTTCGGTAATATTACGCCATTATTGGAAATGTAAGTTTTCCGCCGCCGAAACAACACGTTTGGTGCGACAATTCGAAGATGAGGATGCTCTCTGTGAACGGACAATAGTGAGATGGTTTCAGAAATTTGAAGCCGGTGACATCAGCCTCGAGAGGAAAGAAGGTTCCGTACGAATATCATCGTTCGATGAGGAAGCTCTGTGGGA